TGGCCCATTACGGTGCCGCAACACCTAGACCCAGCTGTGGCTTCCCAGCCACTCTTTGCACGTCCTCGACCCCCGTCAAGTGAAATTTCAAGCCCCAAGGCTCCCAAAAATTAAGAAGACAAAGAAAATTAATTTTTTCTTACCTTGAAGCAACGAGAAGACAAAGCAAGCAACGAAAGACGATCCTTTACATGGGTAAGAGTAGAAGATTGCTAGGGGAGAAGGAACAAATATCCTCTAAGCTCTCTCTCTTGTAGGGTGGAATAAATCGCTTTCCAAAGTTGATTTAATAATCCACTTAAGGTGAACTTAAATAGGCTTGGGAGAAATATATTTCCCTTTCCTAGAAGGACCTAATTTCCTATTAAAGAGGGAATCTATATCAAAATATGAAACAATCATATGTTTCCCAAAGCAAGAAGATCTCTACACTTGCTGTCATTTCCTACAAGCAACCCAACAGGTGTGGGGGCATTTGTGGAACAAAAAATAATCGAGAAAAATATGGAGGTGACACATGGATTCTTGGGGGTGAAAAAGATAATATTACCCTCGAGGCACATCAGGATTTCTACGCGCAAGCAGCAGACAATCATCCCTCAATCAAGGTCAAAAGTGATAAAAATAGGTATTTATTCAAAACCTATCTCATCAACCGTCATCAAATCTCCCCACAAGGTAACTCCCAAATTATTTCTTTCAAATAATGTTAATTAGCTAATTAATTGTGAATAACACCCAAAAATACCAAAGGTGGCCGGTTCCCACCTCTCTAAAGGGGCCGGCCACATCCCTATAAATACCACCTTATTTCTCCAAAAACCTAAGTTGAAACCTCTTCCAAAATTCTCAAAATTCTCTAAACACTTTTCCCTTAAAATTCTAACTTTGGCATCAGAGGTTCTTCGACCAAAGCCCCCCCCATTCATCGTGGGTGCGTGAGGCTCTTGGCCTTGACCTAAAGTGTTAATTGTTTTGTAGGTGCATTTTCGTCCAAGAACAAGAAGGAAGAAATTTGCATCCACAACTGCAACAGAACATGCTCTATCGTTTCAGGTTCATTACCACAAAAAACAGAACAATCATCCATAAGTACCTTTTACATCTTCAAGTTGACTCTAGTCGGCAAATCATTTATACAACCCCTCCAGATGCAAATTTTGACCTTTCCCGATGCCTTAGCATGCCATGATGCCTTCCACAGAAATTTAATCTCTGCCGACATCTCTGAACTAACTGGAACATCTCCACAAATTTCACTAAAATCTGAGCAACGAAATATGCGCTTTTAGTTGTAAAATTTTTGTTTAGGTTCTTTGATCGAAATCAACTCATCAAGTGGACAATAGAAACTTAAAGGAATACTCAAAATGAGATTGGCCTCTTCTGGAAAGAAAATTCGTGATACCACCTGCATATTCCAACGTGTACAATCTGCCTCCACCATCAAAGATCTAACAGTAAGGCTAGGATACACTCCTAGTGGTAACGGACTCAGCACTTTTAGCATAATTATCTCTCGGCACCCAGTTATCCCCCCAAATTTTAATGTTAAACCCATCACCTACCCACCAGCTAGCCCCACGTTGAATCAACACTCCAGATGTTGTTATGCTTTCCCAACAATATGAAGAATTTGACTTTACTGCAGCATTTAAAAAATCCATTTTGGGGAAATACCGAGCCTTAAACACTTAGGCCATAAGAGAGTGCGGCTGTTGGATAATACACCAACCTTGCTTAGCAAGCAAAGCTAGATTAAAGTTGTACAAATCTTTAAACTCCAACCCTCGCTCACCTTTAGGCTTGCACATCTTCTGCCAACTCACCCAGTGAATGTGTCTCTTCCCAACCTCTTTTCCCCACCAAAATTGTGCAACCATTTGATTCAACTCATCACAGAACGTCTTTAGAAGAGGTCTCCATGGTGTATAGAGGGACAGCCTGGGCCACGATTTTAATTAAAATCTCCTTACCAACACTACTTAAGAGACTCCCACGCCAACCATTTAATTTCTTGCATAGCCGATCTTTAATAAATGCAAATGTCTGTTTCTTTGACTTACCAGTGTACACCGGCAACCTAAGATAAAGATCATGGTAATTCACCCTAGCCATGCTGAGGCAACCAGCAAGCATTTAAGCATCCACTTCATTCACATTCGCACTAAATGCCACACCACTTTTGAACAGATTAACAACTTGTCCCAAGGTTAATTCATAAGTTCTTAATAAGTTCTTCAGTTCACAACATTCCTGTAATGTACTTCTGGCAAAAATGAAGCTATCATCTGTAAAGAAAAGATGATTTATAATAGGCACATCATTACATACCATTATCCCTTGTATTTGGCCTTGGGCCTCCCACGCATCCAATAATGCTGATAAACCTTCTGCACAAATCACAAATAGGAAAGGAGACAATGGATCCCCTAGCCAGATACCCGTTTTAGGTTGTACAAACCCACCGGTTCCTCATTGAGCTTGAATGAATAAGCGACAGATGCGACACTCCTCATGATCCAAGTGATCTATTCATCGGCAAAACCCAATCTTCACATTATTTGTTCTAGGAAAAACCATTCAATATGGTCATAAGCTTTACTGATGTCAAGTTTTAGCACCATCACACCATTCCAACCACTATTTTTCTGCTTCATAAAATGAGCAATTTCCGATGCCACCAAACAATTATCGGAGATTAATCTTCCAATAATAAACGCACTTTGGGAGGGCGAAATGATATCCGGTAAGACAAGCTTCTGTCTATTTGTGAGTACAAACCTAAACTTGTCTTAAGATTGTTAGAATAATTAGGGTCTAATTGCTATATTAAATCACATAGAAAAATAAGAAATAATTTATGCAATTATATATCAAAGTAATGCATGTACATGAGTAATCTATGTTAAATGAATATGACATAAAGGAAAAACCTAAAAATACAGTCGAAGCAAGTGTTGGACACTTTGCCCTTAAGACAAGTTTACGCCCCACTACTCTGGAGCCAAAAATAATAAAAAATTTTATGGAGGTGATACATGGACTTTTAGGTAAAAAGGACAAAATTACCCTAAAAGCACACCGAGATTCCCACACACATCCAATGGAGAATAACAGCTCAATCAAAGAAGAGTCAACGGTGATCAAAATGGTATTTACTCAAATCCCTCTCATCACTCCTCATCAAATCATTATTCAAAAGGTAACTCCCAAATTTCCTATTTAATTTAGGATTAATTGTCATGTTAATTACAAGATATTATTTCATATAATATCTTGCAATTATTCACCCAATTACACCATATGTGGCCGGACACTCCCTTATAAATAGTCATATTATCCCACTAAAAAGCTAAGCCATTTGCTACCCACAAACTTCTAAACACATTCTTTTCACAATTTTAACTTTAGCATCGGAGATTCTTCAGCTAAAGCCCCCCATTCATCATGGACGCGTGAGGCTTCTGGCCTTAATCTTAGGTGTTATTATTTTGCATGGGTATTTTCGTCAAAGGAGGAGACAACGAAAATTTGCATCCACAAATTGGTGCTTTCATTGAGAGTTTGATTCACACGCTCGAAGAAGACTCTCACATTCAAAGTTTCTCATTTCTTGTTTTCATAGATTTTTCGTACGTTCTCATTCCTAGAATTTTTTATAAAGTTCTTTTGATAAACGTAAAAGAAAAGTACAATGACTAGAAATTCGGAAACCACGATGAACGAAACCGCGTACGTTCAAAGATCTGGATCAAATGATGGAGGACTCAATGTAGCCCCACCGCGACGACCCATGAGGCTCAACACGATGACAAAAAGAGCGGTACCACCATCACGAAGCACCACCGTGGCAGCCTACGGTGAGACCCAAGTCCACAATGAAGGCATCACCCTGTAGCCGCAAGCCAAGGCCGATGCCACCTCGCAGCAGCGAGCCTAGGCCTGCGCCACAAAGGAGCCAAGCATGGCACAAGAAGCGTAAGCAGCCCAGCTTGCTGCCACTGCAGCAGCATAGGCCTAGGAGTAAGCCTAGGCCCAGACGCTAGCAACTGCAGCCTAGCATGCCCAGACCCACACCATATAGCAGTGCCAAGCCCAGGCCTACGCCACTTTGCAGTGCCCAGCCCAAGCTTGTGCCGCACAACAGCAAACCCAAGCCATGCCGAGAGGGGAGGAGGCCCAGTGCACACACTCCAGTGGCTTGGCCCATCCTACGCTAACGGTCCAACCAATTCTAATGACACGACTCACTCCTGTGGTCCAACCCATGGTCCACCTAGCAACCCAAATCGGTCTAAGAATGGTTCAACCATCTCGACTTTAGATATATGGACTGACAATTGAACCAGAGGTATTTTCACCCCATTTCTGCACAGATTTAACATATCCCAACTCAAATCTCACGCCCATAGTCTATTACACTTCCACCACTGATGAACAAATTATATTTCTCGCAAGTGCACGAATCGATATGATAGTATAGCAAGAAAATATGAGTGCCATACCCATAGGGATTTGTAAAGTCACCTAACTAAGTCCAATTTTGTAGTACCTACTAGAATAAAAATAACGTAAACAACTAAACTATGAAATTCAAATAATTAACAAAAGAGAAGTTGATCAAGTAATCTTAAGTGCAATAAATAAATAAAAAAAGAGTTTTGTGTAAATGATTTCTGAAAACAACGGTTGAAACACTAGGTATACGACTTCACCATATCAATCCAATTCTATGTCATTAGATAACTTAGTAAGAACAATTCAATTCAGGTTCTAAGGTTCGTCCTTTCTTTATTACGATTATCCATTAAGCGTCCGGGTGTAACCAAGTATTCTTAATCATCAACTTAACCATGGCGTCTAGTCTAAGTCAATAATCAAAAATCCATTAAGTGCAAGAAGAACAAAGAAAACCAAAAAGTGTCTTAGCATGGCGTCCGCATCAACAACAATTCATTCATCCAAGAGAGCTATCTCAAGGCTAAGCATATGGTGTCTACTATAACCTTGTCTCATACATGTAATAATTCATATTAAAGGTAGCTAATTAATAACATTAACATTAAGAATGAATTAAGCACAATGAATGAAACTAGAAACCTTGAACTGATAAAAGAATAATGTTAACTAAAACATAGAATTACTACATCGGATCCCTAATAAAGAATTTAATTACTCATAGTCATCAAATTATAGCAAGACATAATCATGACCATCATAATCACAAAGTTTGAAAAGATGTAAAAGAAAACCCTCGGAGGACCCCTTGCGTTTGGCTTCTCCTTCGGTCAATCGTCCAACAATATGATGAAGTGCGTCTCTTTTCTTCCTTTCCACGTTGCTGCTCTCTCCCTTTTAAATAAACATCTAAGGAATATGTAGGTAGGTTTAGGTTAGGCTTTGCTTTGCCGCAATTATTGAATCCCAGCCCAAACAGGAATTCCAACATTATCAGACTTCGGTTTCCTGATCCAAACTGGACTCCACTCCTGAGCCGACCTTCTCACACTAAAACAGGTATAACTTCTTCTAGAAGCATCCGAATCATGATATGTAAAATTCTACCGAAACAAGACATCTAGATCTTTCCATACATATGTGGCACGACACCAGTTCGTCCTGATGAATTTCTGACGTCCCAACAAACATGAAAGTTCTGTGCAGCACCTTCCATCTCCAGTTATAATTTCCAAACAGCAGCCATTAAATTGCGGATTGAACAAATTAGCATCTGATGATCATTGGAATACTTAAAAGAACACGACACAACACAATTAAAACTTAAAAGAACACGACACAACTAAAACTAAAAAGAAATTAATCTAAGCCACTTTCGTAGGGAATCATGATGGCACTCAGCATGTGGCACAAGCCTTTAAACCCCTAGGTGTCCCTAGTTGGAGGAGTTGTGTCTTCTGAGGGTTTACCAATTACATTACCCACAAATGTTTTCCTACAAAACAAAGTTGTTAAAGACATCACTTCCATAAATTAATGAAAACCAATGTGTGCCAATCACACTTCAAAACTAAATTTATGCCTTTAAAAGCCAGTATACCACATAAAAAAACATGTGTAGCCGACATCTCAAGCACTCGAGCTTAAAGAATCCACATTCGGTGTGTGTAAAAATTCGCCTTGACTCTAATTCTCACTTGGACATCTCTCAATTTGTCTCTGAACCTAAGCTTTCACTCTTAACAAGCATATGTGATGAAGTTATGTAAAGGGAATCAAAATATAATCACATATGAGTAATATTAAAACGAACGGCAATTTCTGAAAATAGATCTCATGAAAGGAATCAAATACTAGGAACATAGGTATTTATCTACACCATTAAGCAAGGTTTCCCCATAAATCCATTAGGTCTTTACTATGGTTGTAATGAAAGGCTAGGGTAAGGGCTATCAAAGAAGGGATAAGGAAAAACTAGAACTTGAGATATACCAAGATTTTTTCATATGCAGTTTGGCTAGCCCTCATTTGAAACTTGATGTATAATTCTTGGCGTCCAGGACTCATGTAATGAGAAAGGAACAATTTCCAGTCTATCTAATTTCTTTGATTTTTTTTTCTTCTTTTTCGTTTCTTTTTTTTTTTTCTTTTCTTTTTCTTTTGAATGAAACTAGAAATTGCAAAACAATGATACGACACATGGTACCTCGGTACACGCCACTTCCTTGGTGTAGAGCTCAACCCTTTTTTTTTTTTTTTTTTTTGTCATCTCATATCTCCCAAGCTATAGGGTATGGCTACAATAGTGCAAAATAGGTAGAGTATAATGTGGGTGATGAGATGAAAGAATTGGCTAAGTGTTTGGCTTCAAATGGGATATTGGCGCACACAAAAGGGATGGAATAAGGCCATTTAGTGGTGGAAGCATACATAGCCTAACTTCATCTTTATAGTTCCATCTAACCCAATGGCAAAAATACCCAACATAGAGAAGTTCTTTAGTATCCAATGCAAATTAGTATTTATGAGATCGTAAAAATCAAACAAAGAATTTGAAAAAGTGTTTAAGAGTAGAAACAATAAAACACTCTCAACAAAAGTATAGGCTCAAAATCTCAAAGGGGTAGTCTCCACTATTTCTCCACATCATTCGAACATAGACACTTTATCCACCAAAACACTTGAGATATGGCATAATGAATGAGTGAAAGTGTGATGCACAAACCTCCAAAGCAACCCTTTAGTCAAGGTTGAATGATTTAGCATATCATATTCATTGCCATTAATAAATTAAAGTGACACCTTTAACATCTCATGTTTCAGACAAATTCATTTTCTTGTGCTTTTCTTTAAACCCCACCCATGATTAATTTAATTGTAGGTCATCATCCTATGCAATTCCTCATCTACAATTATAAAAAGAAGACAACATAGAGCAATTATATAAAGGAAAATGATACATCTGTTGTGGCTCCACATTGTGGAAGAATGAAAGCTCCAATCACTTTGTTGCTGGCACACATATGTGGCATAAAACCAGTAGGGCCGCATCACCATTTCCTTCTTTTTCTTCGATCTTGTGAGCTTCTCATGGGTAATAAAACCATCTGCAACAATAATTCTGAAACACATATTCCTTTGTTCTCTTACTCCAATAAAAACAAAAATAAAAATCAGAAAAACAAAAGTTTTCCACCCCCAAACCTAAACTAAACATTGTCCTCAATGTTTATGTCAAGAAAATTATGCAATGAGTAGAGAAGGTCTTGATAGTATGGAAACATAAACAAAAACAAAAACAAAAAATAACAGAACGAAGTTATTGAGGTGGATTGCCTCCCACGAAGCGCTTTAGTTAACGTCTAGGCAAGACGGAATGCACAATCTAAGGCTTGATCAAGTCAAGGAAATCAACCACCTCAGCTATAGTAGTGTTGGCTAAATATGGTTTCAATCGATGCCCGTTCACCTTGAAAGTATTCACAGTCTTCGTATTCTCAATTTCAACGGCTCCATGAGGGAATACTTGTCTTACTTTAAAAGGTCCAAGCCACCGAGATTTCAATTTTCCTAGAAAAAGACGTAAACGTGAGTCATAAACCAACACTTGCATACCTTGTTTGAACTCCTTCCTTTGCAGCATTTTGTCATGGCACAACTTGGTCTTTTCTTTGTAAATTTTTGCATTCTCATAAGCCTCGTTCCAGAGCTCGTCTAACTCATTTAGTTGCAACTTCCTAGCATCTCCGGCTTTACCCATGTCAAAATTTAATTGCTTAATTGCCCAGTATGCTCTATGCTTCAATTCCACTGGCAGGTGGCAAGCTGTTCCGAAAACAAGCCTATAGGGGTTCATTCCAATCAGAGTTTTGTATGCCGTGCGATATGCCAATAGGGCGTTGTTCAATTTTAATGCCCAATCTTTCCTTGTAATTTTCATAGTCCTTTCCAAAATGTACTTAATTTGCCGATTACTAACCTCGACTTGTCATGAAGTTTGAGGGTGATATGGTGTTGCTATCCGATGAGTGATGTTGTATTTCTTCAACAATGCTGCAAAAGCTTTTTTTTACAAAAGTGACTTCCCCTATCACTAATTATGGCTCTGGGGGTCCCAAATCTAGTAAATATCATGTCCTGCAAAAAGCCAAGCACAACCTTACTGTCATTAGTTTTAGTTGCAATTGCCTCAATCCATTTAGACACATAGTCCATAGCTACAAGAATATAATTATAACCAAAAGATGTAGGAAAGGGACCCATAAAGTCTACACCCCACACATCAAATAATTCTACCACCAAATTGTAGTGAGTGGCATCCCATTCCTTTTACTTATATTTCCTGATCGTTGGCACCTGTCACAATTAACATAAAAATTATATGCATCTTTGAATAACGTAGGCCAAAAGAAACCGGATTGCAAAACCTTAAAAGCTGTCTTTTTGGCCCCAAAGTGTCCTCCGCAATTTAGTTCATGGTTGAATTGTAGGATACTTTGCTGCTCACTTTCTGGAACACAACGCCTTATTATTTGATCAGGACAATGTTTAAATAAATAAGGGTCATCCCAAAAATAATGCTTAACCACAGACATAAATTTCTTCTTTTCCTGTGAGGTTAGATCAGAACGGATAATATTACTAGCTAAGTAATTAACAATATCTGCATACCAGGACCCTTTTTCATGGATTAAGAAGAGTTGTTCAACAGGAAAAGCTTCATGAATGGGTGGGACACCTTCTTGCTTTTGTACTTCATGGCCATCCACCTCCACTAGCCGAGAAAGGTCGTCTGCCACCACATTTTCGCTCCATTTCTTGTCCCTTATTTCTAAATTAAACTCTTGCAACAATAAAATCCACCTAATGAATCGAGGCTTGGCATCCTTTTTGGTTAGCAAATACTTAAGAGTAGCATGATCAGGATAAACAATAACCTTTGACCCAATTAAATAGGAGCGAAACTTTTCCGAAGCAAAGACAATTGCCAACAGTTCTTTTTTCGTGGTGGAATAATTTAACTGAGCATCATTCAATGTGCGACTAGCATAATAAATATCATAAGGCAAGCTACTTACACGTTGTCCAAGAACCGCACTGATAGCATTATCAAATGCATCACACATTAATTCGAAAGGAAGAGACCAATTGGGTGACATAATGATAGGTGCTGATGTTAATTTCTTTTTCAAAGTATCAAAAGCATCATGGCAGCTTTTATCAAAATTAAAAACAGCATCCTTGGCTAAGAGATTACATAGCGGATGATTAATTTTTGAAAAATCTTGGATGAAATACCTATAGAAACCTACATGACCAAGAAAGATTCACACACCCTTAATAGAAGTGGGAGGTGGCAACTTAGCAATTATATCAATTTTTGCCTTGCCTACTTCAATACCTTTATTAGAAATAACATGGCCTAGAACAATACCTTTCCTTACCATGAAGTTGCTCTTTTCCCAGCTTAAGGTTAGATTTGTCTTAATGCATCTTTTAAGCACTATTAAATTATCAAGGCAATTATCAAATGGAATGCCAAAAACAGAAAAATCATCCATAAATACCTCGATACATCTTTCAATAATGTCAAAGAAAATTGACATCATACATCTTTGGAAGGTGGTAGGGGCATTACATAGGCCAAAGGGCATCCTACGATATGTGAAGGTACCAAATGGGCATGTAAACGTCGTCTTCTCTTGATCTTCGGGTGCAATTGGTATTTGATTATACCTTGAAAAACCATCAAGAAAACAATAGTAAGAATGATCGGCTAATCGTTCAAACATTTGATCAATAAAAGGTAAAGGAAAGTGATCTTTTCTAGCGACAAGGTTAAGCTTTCTATAATCAATGCAAACCCTCCAACCCGTAGTCACTATTGTTGGCACAAGCTCATTATTGTCATTCTTCACAACCGTAATTCCAGATTTTTTTTTGAACCACTTGAACCTGGCTCACCCACTTGCTATCCGAAATGGGATAAATAATTCCCACATCTAGTAGTTTAAGAACCTCTGTGCACACCACCTCCTTCATATTGGGTTCAATCTTCTTTGATTTTCTATTGTTGGCTTGGCATTTTCTTCCAATAAAATTTTATGCATGCACATGGTTGGACTAATTCATTTGATATCGGCGATAGTCCATCCTATGGCAGTTTTATGCTCCCTTAAAACTCGAAGTAATTTCTCCTCTTCCAATGGAGTAAGATCAGAGGTTATGATCACTGGAAGAGTCTTATGATCTCCAAGGTAAGCATATTTGAGGGTGGATGGAAGTTGTTTTAATTCTAACTTAGGTGGGGACATAATGGAAGGGACCAATTTGGGTTTGGAAGGCTCGAGAATCTCATTTGGGTTAGCATTAGGAGGGTATGGCAGTGCACTATTTACGGTTTCCATGAACTCCCTTATATCTTTACCATCATGCCAATCTTCTCCTCCCAATGTTAAAGCTGCTTCCAATTTATCTTCCACTTTATTCTGCATAAAATTAGAAAAAACAACCGAATCCAAAGTGTCAATCGAGAAACAATCATACGAATTAGAAGGATAATATAGAGAGTCAAACACTTTAAATTCCACTGTCTCATCAAGGACTGTCATGGTGAGCTTGCCATTCTGAACATCGATGATTGTCTTGGCAGTTGCCATGAATGGATGTCCAAGCAAAATAGGCAATTCCCGATCATGAATTGGTGCATCCTCCATATCTAAGACAACAAAATCTGCAGGAATGATTAGCTTATTGACTTGCACTAAAATATCCTCTACAATGATTAGCTTATCGACTTGCACTAAAATATCCTCTACAGTACCTCTTGGATATTTAACTGAATGATCAGCGAGTTGTAAAGACATTGTTGTAGGCTTCAACTCCCCTAATCCCAATCGAATGTATATTGAGTGAGGCATTAAATTTATGCTTGCCCCTAAATCTAACATGGCTTTTTCAAGCTTTGTATCACCAACATTAATATTAATATTAAAGCTCCCAGGATCCTTCAATTTAGGTGGCAATTTCCCTTGAAGAACTGCACTTACCGTTTCTGATACCATTACCTTTTCATGCGGTTCATACTTATGCTTATAAGTATTAAGTTCCTTGAATTTTTTTGCATAAGCCGGCATGTTCCTAATCATATCAAGCAAGGTAAGTTCACATTAACTTTCGATAATATATCGTAAATTTCAGCAAAAAACTTATCCCATTTTCTTTTATTTAAGTGGCTCGGAAAGGGAAGAGGTGGAATATAAGGCTTTGATGCCTTGTGGAGATTGGGTGCAGCTAAAGGTGGCTGCTCATTAACTTTAGGGGCTGTCCCGGTAATGAAAACAGGTCCATTCATGTCCACTTTTGTGCTACCCATGAGTTTCCTTGGTGGCTCCTCCTCCATTTCTTTTTCTTCAACTTTTTCACCTACATCATTGAGTAACACGTCATTAGATTTAGGATTTAATTCAGTATTAATTACCTTACCACTTCGAAGTTTGTTATCGCCTTGGCTTGCTCTGGTTGGCTTGGGAATTTGCCAAGAACATGGCTTTGCTTAGCATCCGCAATCTGTCCAATTTGTACTTCCAGGTTCCTTAAAGAGGCCTCTTGTTGTTGAAATTTTTGTTCATTGCTTTGTTGGCTATTTTGGCATACTTGTATAAAATTATTCAAAGTGTCTTCCAATGAGGGCTTTCTTTACTGGAAAGAAGAGCTAGCTTGATTTTGATTTTGGTTATTATTCCATGAAAGATTAGGATGAAACCTCCAACCAGTATTATAAGTATTTGAAAAAGGAACAAATTTAGATTTCTGATTATAGGTATTCATCATATTAGCTTGCTTTTGTAAATATTCTGGAAAAGCCTCACTAGACGGATGTTAGAGACATGACCAAAAATACCACATATTGCACATACCTCACTAGGGGCCGATCCATTATTCATGACTACATTGCTCAATGTTTTGATTTGTTTGGTTAAGTCAGCCACCTGCATAGCAAGGTCATTATTAGGACTAATTTCATATATGCCTGAATGCTTACCCCTAACACTTTTCTGCTGAGAATTTGCGCCAAGCATCTCATATTGCTCATAAGTTTGTTGTGCAGTTTTTTCACCCATGGCACCACCTGCAGCGTTATCAACAGTAGCCTGACAGGCTTGGGTTAATCCACCATAGAAAATTTGATTTTGTAATTCTAAAGGATAATGATGATGAGGACATTGGATTAAAAGCATTTTAAAGCGCTCCCCTGCTTCATGGAACGACTCACCCTCCAATTGGGAAAAAGTGGCGATCTTCCTCCTAAGTTCAATAGTCTTCTGATGTGAGTAAAATTTTCCAACGAACTTATTGTAAATTGCTTCCCATGTTGCAAGTGATCTAGGTGTCAAAGACATAAGCCATTTCTTAGCTTTATCCTTCATAGTATATAGAAAACATCTCATCTGCAATTGATCTTCACTTAATCCCTACAAAGGAAAAGTTTGAATTTTAGCATAAAAATCATAAATGAATGACAAAGGATCTTCACTAGCAACACCATAAAAAGATGGAAGCATATTATAATGGGTATTTTTCAACTCGTAATTTCTAGCAGTAGCATCTAATAAAATGCATGATAGTGATGTTTCAACAACTGGGCGTGCAAATTCTTTCATGGGACGTGGATTAGCATTTGCCATCTTCTTTTGGATGTCTTCAATGTCCTCTTCTCCTTCTTATAATTCTAATGTGGACACGCTTCAACTCTTCTTCTTCTCGACTCTTTTTTGTATTTCTTCTTGTTCGACCAATATTATCGTCAATAGTTCTCCTTCTTGCGATCGATGACCTTGCATTCACTACCTACAAAAACAAATAAATTTAGAACAAATAAAATAAACAAATTCAGGGGATACACAACTAGAAGTATTTAGATAGACAAATCCATGGCAACGGCGCCAGAAACTTGATGAACAAAATATGTTTCTCGCAAGTGCATGAATCGATATGATAGTATAGCAGGTAAATACGAGTGTCATACCCATAAGGATTTGCAAAGTCAGCTAACTAAGTCCAATTTTTTACTACCTACTAGAATAAAAATAACGAAAACAACTAAACTATGAAATTCAAATAATTAACCAAAGAGAAGTTGATCAAGTAATCTTAAGTGCAATAAATAAAAAAAAGAGTTTGTGTAAATAATTTCTAAAAACAACGGTTGAAACACAAGGTATCTGACTTCACCATATCAATCCAATTCTATGTCATTAGATAACTTAGTAAGAACAATTCAATTCAGGTTCTAGGGTTCGTCCTTTCTTTATTATGATTATCCGTTAGGCATCCGGGTGTAACCAAGTATTCTTAATCATCAACTTAACCATGTCATCTAGTCTAAGTCAATAATCAAAAATCCATTAAGTGCAAGAAGAACAAAGAAAACCAAAAAGTGTCTTAGCATGGCGTCTACATCAACAACAATTCATTCATCCAAGAGAGCTATCTCAAGGCTAAGCATATGGGGTCTACTGTAACCTTGTCTCATACATCTAAAAATTCATATTAAAGGTAGCTAATCAATAACATGAACATCAAGAATGAATTAAGCACAATGAAAGAAACTAGAAACCTTGAACTAATAAAAGAATAAAGTTAACTAAGACATAGAATTATCATGAATGCTACGTCAGATCCTTAATAAAGAATTTAGTTACTCATGGCCATCAAATTATAGCAAGACATAATCATGACCATCATAATCACAGAGTCTGAAAAGATGTAAAAGAAAACCCTCGGAGGACCCCTTAAGTTTGGCTTCTCCTTCGGTCAATCGTCCAATAATATGATGAAATGCGTCTCTTTTCTTCCTTTCCACGTTGTTGTTCTCCCCCTTTTAAATAAACATCTAAGGAATATATAGGTAAGTTTAGGTTAGGCTTTGCTTTGCTGCAATTATTGAATCCCAGCCCAAACAGGAATTCCAACATTATCAGACTTCGGTTTCCTGATCCAAACTAAACTCCACTTCCGCGTAGAATTCCTGAGCTGACCTTCTCGCACTAAAACAGGTATAACTTCTTCTAGAAGCATCCGAATTATGATCTGTAAAATTCTGCAGGAACTAGACATCCAGAGATTTCTATACATATGTGTCACGACTCACGACACCCAGTTCAACCTGATAAATTTCTGACGTCCCAACGAACATGACAGTTCTGCGCAGCACCTTCCAGCTCCAGTTATAATTTCCAAACAGCAGCCATTAAATTGCGGATTGAACAAATTAGCATCTGGTGATCGTTGGAATACTTCTTAACTTCAGTTCTTCTCAGCCTTGATCCTTTTTAGCCTTAAAATCACCAAAAGACTCCAAAGTCTTCTCTACAGTCCATCATCTATAAAATACGCACTAGACACATTAAACAACCAATTTCACAAGAAAACATAGCATAAAACTTAGGAAATATGGGCAATATAAATGTATAAATATTGTGTTATCAACCACTCAAGGAGACGCATACTGTCCAAGCTCTTCCACCCCAAATGGTGAACAACACTTGTCTCGACAAGTCATAGAGTTGACAAGCGCCCTCACACAACAGACAACCTTGGTAAACCAGCTCTTGCAACATAATGAGATGCAGCGTGCCCCAGACAAGGTGTCTCGAAGTAGGACAAAGGTAGACGATGAACCTCTCCAGCAGCGTCCCGGCAAACAGCCCCTCGACCAGTCACAAACCGAGCGTTTTGGCAGTGTACACTCCTGATTGGGCCTCCGAGATAGCTTATACTCTCGTCTTAGTGCGCGGAGAAGCGTGTACTTTTGGTTAGGCCCACGGATGAGCGTACATTCACGGTTGGGGCCACACTTTGATAATCAACATGAGCAACCTTCCAGGTGAAGTGTTTATTCACAGCTAAGCTCACAAGAACCATCATCCACCTGACATCGGAGTAGGTAGCAAGACAGACGGAGAGAAGCAATCACTCAATTCAGCTCAAGTTCAACCGGCATCTTACAAGTAATTCGCTCGCCTGTTAGGAACGTACCACATGCACAGCAGCCGCGGCATAGACGAGCCAAACATATGAAAGAGCAGCCTAGACCAGTAGGTCATGACTGGGGGCAGTCGGAAGCTTTGCTACCTCAGTAAAGATAAATTCAGGTAGAAGTAGAGAGACTCATGACCGAACAATTAAACGACTTCCAGTCCAATGAAGTCACCAACAAGGCACTCCGACAAGATATGACCAACATAAGCAGGTCACTTTTCACAGACGAGATTGAGTAGGCAGAGCTTCCATGCAAGTTTAGCATGCCACATTTCACATCTTTCAAAGCAGATAGAGAACCGAAAAGGCACCTAAAACACTACTGCAATGCAATGATCCTTTATCGGAACAATGACACCATCATGTGCAAGATATTCGCCACCATTTTACAAGGCAAGGTGCAAGATTGGTTCCACACTCTGCTGCCACAATCCATCTGGAGTTTGGACAAACTTTTTTTCGTTTTCACCAAAGAATATTCATCATATCACTCAATTAAGAAGAAGTCTGACCAATTGTTGAACGTTAAGAAGAACCCAAAGGAGTCGCTCCGCGATTATGTGAAGAGGTTCAAAGTAATAGTTGGTTGTAACGACTCGATAGCCAGTGCAGCTTTCCAAAAAGGACTCTCAGCATACCACTCGCTATTTGGAAAATTGATCATGAAAGAAGATCTAACTCAGTGAGCAGATAAGGTACCCGAGCAGCCTAAAAAAGAATTGGCGGTAGCTCAAAGAAGGAGGACAAGAAGCAGTACAATAACAAAAACAGGCAGGAAGCCAAGCACAGAGACCAATCCCCAACTAAAGGAGGCCCGATGCTGAAGAGCTATTCTAAATCTCAATCCCGATGCACCAAATCTTTCTCGACATCAAGAGTGAACCATGGTTCAAGCTGCCAAAGCAATCAAAGGGAGATACCTCCAAGTTGGACCACACCAAGTATTGTGCATTTCATCAAGGTCCCAATCACACAACCGACGACTGCTACACTTAGAGGAACTACCTAGAGAAGCTAGTGAAAAAAGGCAAGGTCGATAGATACTTAGACAAGCCAGCTGCACAGCCTAGAAGAAACGTAGACGCCGACGAAAAGCCATTAACCAAGACAACTCAAATTAATGGCATCTTCGTTGAATCCGAGCACTTAGGGGTTACCAGCCGAATTCGAGCACTTAGGGCCACCAATAACTCTAAGAAGAGAAAGATCTAATTGGCTCTATTAGTCTCTCAAGTCCAGGCAATGAACACCCAACCTAGATTCATCATTGGCTTCACCATGCAGGATGCTGAAGGCGTCGACTTCCCACACAATGATGCACTAGTGATATATGCCCAACTAGCCCACACTATAGTCGAAAGAATGATGGTTGACAATGGAAGTACGGTCAACCTACTTCAGCTCTCAGTAATTCAGAAGATAGGCCTAGAAAACACAAACATACACCGAGCAGATGTACTCACCGAATTCAACGTACACACCTCGATTGCCATCAGTAATATTACACTTGACGTGAGAACACCGCCAATTGTTTCAAAGTAGATGTTCATGATAGTAAACGACCTATGTCCCTACAATGGGATTCTAGGGCGACTGTGGTTGATAAAGCTAGATGCCGTAACCTTTTTCAAGTATCAAAAAATCCAATTCTGGATCCCGAGAGAAGGAGTAATAAAAATCAAGTCTGACAAGGCCACATCTCAACGATGTACTATGCAAGTGCTGAAAGAGTAAAAAAAGAAGACCTTTACCCTTGTAGAGGCTACTGAGGTCTGAAGGGACGACGAAGCTACCAAATAGTAATTACAGCAGACGGATCAAGAAGATGGTGTTCAAATCAACGTGCCAGCAGACGAGATGGGATGGAAACTCGATTAGGACGTTGAACACATCATTCTTGATCCTCAACAGCTGGAGAAGACTGCTATAATTAGCTCACATCTAAGCCCGAAGGAAAAAGAAGAGCTCACAGCTTTCCTTGCAGGGTCACAGCTTTCCAAGCCCATTGAATGCATTGAAACCTAAATTAGATTATTTGTGGTTGATTCTAAATCCCTAGACTTTCACCATTGTTTGTCAAATCTCAATTTTCAACGTTCATCTCATAGTTACTTTTTGTTTACTTTTCTTTTTAATATTGTTTTTGTTTGCTTAAAATCAAATATTCAAAACAATTCTCTACAATTTCATTGAAATCTATAGTTTAGATTGTGTATTATTGGTGTTTGTTTAATTAGATTTTCTTTAGGTTACCAAATATAGATTAAGTAAGAATCTTTGTGGGAATGACACTTGGACTTGTAAGTCATTATATTCTGACATTCTTGTGCACTTGCAAGTTGACACCAACAAGCTACACGTCGACCCTGCTGCCAAACCGGTGATCCAAAAGAGAAGACATTTCACAACCGAACAAGTGTTGATCATTCAAGTAGAAATCGATAAGCTATTGGAGGCCCGGTTAATAGAAGAGGTAGCACACTCAGCATGGCTTGTCAACGTCGTGCTAGTAATAAAGAAAGAGAAAGGAAAATGGAGGGTTTGCGTAGTCTACACTGACTTCAACAAAGCATGCTCGAAGGATCCTTATCAAGTTCCCCGAATCAATCTACTACTAGATTCAATTTCTGGGAACCAGTTGCTTAGTTTCTTGGACGCATACTCTGGCTATAACCAAATAGCCATACA